GAGTGTGCAGCATGACAGAGGAGCTGACAGAGAGCAGAGCTATGACACGTTTCATAAATCTCTTCCCCCGTGAGCCCTGCGGATTGTTATCCTAGGGCAACACCTGTTGGTGGTCTCTGGTAAATGCTGAAACCGCTGGCTGCCGGGATGAGAAGTGTTGTTCTCTGACGGGAGGGGCTGGCAGCGGAAAATACGCAGCTGCAGCTGTGGCGCGGGGGGGTGGGAGGAGGCGTGTGCACAGTCTCCGACACCTCATCCGACTTTTCCAGCATGGCCTTGAAATTGGTCCCAAACAGCGCGTCGTCATGATGGGGCCCTCCAACAAAAAAGCCTTCTGCAGCTCCTCCGACAGGGAGGGGAAGTGACAAGTCGGGTGGACTTTTGCACCATTGTCATCTAGGCTGCAATGCGAGACAAGGCAGACAGCAGACGAGGCGCACAGGTTGAGGGTGATGTCAGATGCCTGCAGAGGGAGCTCCTTGTCTCCTGAGGCAGGTCTGTCCCTCCGGCCTCTGAGAAGCTGTATGTCAGTGGCACTACGGCCGCCTGGGATGCATGCCGGTGAGCTCAGTTGAAGAGCGACGTCACTGTCTGGTTAAGCCTCCCCGGAGGCGCAGGACGCTGGTCCAACCTGGACATCTTTGCTCCAAAAAAGCCTCAGAAAAAGCCTCCGTCAAGGCTTGGCTCCAGGGGGCACTGAGGGAATTTCCACTCGGTGAAACCCCTCCACTCTGGTGATGGGCGCGGATGTGGGAAACGGCACCCTATTCTACCAGGACCGGCTGCAGCCTCGTCCCAGTAGGGCGTCACCGCTGGGAAAACGAGGCCACATGAGATCAGGACGGCGAGCCGGAGTGGAGCCCAGAAACCCTCCCGCTAGATCATTCGATCTGGGCGGGGAAGGAGAGGGGACAGCAAAAGTCCCTTCATGTCAGCTGCCTCCTGGATTATGCCGGGCAGCTCCAGAGGAGGGCACCGGCGGCTGGGAGCGGTGTGGTCGCCGATGCGAAACAAGGTGTGTGGGGGGGGGGGAGCATTCGCTCAGCCCCCCTCTACCGACACTACACTCTCCAGGAGGGAATGAGCAGCGGGGGGCTGCTGCTGCTGACGTCGCCTGTCCTGGAGGAACCATCCGATTCGCTCTGAGGGTCGGCGATAAGAGGAAAATTACAAGATGGCGTCATCCAGCGTGCAGCGACCTGTCACTGAGAAATATTCCTCGGTGCTTACCTTGAAACAAGACTGCTCGTCTGCTTCTCCTCGGGGAGGAGAACTCACCGGGACAACAGGAGGTTGACATGGCGGCCACAGGCAGTCTTAACAAAGGTTGGTCAGCTAGACAACTTTCCTTCTTGGTTCTTCTGACAGTACTATTAGCTTGCTGAAGAAAAATGGGAGCCGATTACCCGCTCTTAACGTAATTTATACGGACCGGGTGGGGCCCACACAACAGGTGGGCGTGGACTAAATTTTTCAGTGTAATGTTTCGCATATATAAAACCCACTAAGCGACAGCCTTAAAGGGCGAAGCCTATATGAAATAGAACAACAGATTTTTGGGGGAATCCATAAACACAATAGTGTTTATTTGATATTTATCATTTTTAAACTAGTTTAAAACCAGACAAAGGTAAATGAAATGTCAGCGTTGTATTGCCCATAATGGTTCATATGAAAACATCACAGCTGTTTGTAATGTTTTCACTTTCAGTTTAACTTAGAACAAGATTTTCTACATAAAGTTATGTTTGTCATGGCTTTTTCTTTAAATCAACAAAAACCAGATTACATCCTCGAGTCTTCAGTGTAACTTCTAGGAAAGTGACACTTCTTTGCTGTGCCTTTGAGAGTTGGATTTTTCAACTTTTGCTTCATTTATTTGAAATTGCACTGCAAAAATATCTAAAACGGCTAAAACCTTCACTCTGTAGCATCTTTAAGTTTCAGTTTGACTCCAGCCCCTTCTTCAGAATGACTCATCACCATTTAGGATTTTACCATTTGTATTACAGTCAGTTTACTGGTCCGGTCAGTTTACTGGTCCAGTCAGTTTACTGGTCCAGTCAGTTAACCAGACTTGGATTTGGATTACTATTCATTTGTATTAGCTCCTTTGTGTGTGTGTGTGCGCGTGTGCATGCATGCGTACGTGCGTGTGTATGTGTGTCCATCCATGCTCAGTAATAAGGAAATAAAGAGTCATCTTCCATTTAAAGGTTCATGCATATTTTATTCAAGAGTAAAAAAAAGTGGATCGTCCCATGGCGTCATGCTTACAGTGTTAGTGACTGAGGAGAAGAAAGAAAGACAGACAGAAAGAAAGAAAGAGCAAAAGAACGAATGAAAGAACAGAAGAAAGAACGAAAGAACGAACGAAAGAATGAAAGAAAAAACGAAGAAAGAACGAAAGAAGGAACAAAAGAAAGAAAGAAAGAAAGACAGACAGAAAAAATGAAAGAACGAAAAAAGAAAGAACAGAAGAAAGAACAAAAGAAAGAACGAAAGAAAGAAAAAAAGAAGGAACGAAAGAAAGAATGAAATGTGGCACAATTTTTATGGCACAGGGTTTCCCAGGGAGGGTTGGCGGGGGTTCACTTCATCCAAAGAAGCACAAGATCAACCAAAGAGCAACGCAATGTGAAGATCAACCAGCAGAGAGAGAGAGAGAGTTTACATAATAAGAATAATGTCCATAATAAATAGAAGCATAATAATTATAAATATCTTCAAAGAACAAGAGGAATCATCAACGATGAGAGCAAGAACACGTTTCTCCCGGTGAGCCTGAACTCACCGGGAGAAACGTGTCGCTGCTTTTTTCTTCCATCAGCGCTGATTTGAACCATGCAGTCATGCTCTGGGCCGCCCAAATGCCTGTGCCTTTGTGTATATTATGGTCATTCATTGATGCTAGTTTCATATTTGTTCTTCATATTCATGATTAAAAACAACTCCTGTACAGTGGCAAAGAGGAACATGGACGACCCGACGCTTTGATAAGGAGCGCACCGTCATTCTGTACAGCCTTGAAAGAAAGCCGAAAACACAAGAAGTGAAAAACAAAACGTAGCATAAAATGAACAGAAAAAATTAATAACTTGGCATTATGTACAAAATAAATTATTCATTATTACCTCTGTTCGTTTATATTGGCCAGAAAACCAAGAAACTTTGTCTTACCATAGTGAAACACAGAGCACAAATATAATCTTCACATTATTATCAAAGAACTTAACTCTGCATGCATTGATGCGCTGATATAAATGCTTTACAAAGACCTCTTCTTCTTCTGACTTCTTATGTTAGCCTTCACCAGAAGAGTCCTCTGGTTTAACACTTCCTGCCGTTTAAGGCCAGAGATTCCCGGTCATCACTGCTGTTTGGTGTCAGACAGCAGCTTGGAAAGAAAAGGAGGATGCAGAAGGAGAACAAAGAGTATGACTTCACATTTTAACTCCCTCCCCAGAAATACAAAGCATTCGTCTTTTGCTATACTGCATTTTTGCTTCCTGTGATTATATGCATCAGGTGCGCAATAAAACCTCTCTATGTATCCTATTTACAGGTAAAGGGGAAAAAAAGTCCTCAAAAAGATCTGGGCTCAGTTTCAAGCCTTTCCCAAGAACGAGCTGGCTGGGAACCAGTTATGGAGTGGGTAGGGGTGGGGAAGCCCTCTGCTTGAAATCAAGTGGAGGATGTGTGCAGTGTGGCGCTGCTAAAACAAACGGGAATCTCCTCTGCAGAAGAAAAACTAAACAAACAACAGGGCTCAGATTAGACTGCAGCTCAGATTAGACCGCAGCTCAGATTAGACTGCAGCTCAGATTAGACTGCAGCTCAGATTAGACTGCAGCTCAGATTAGACTGCAGCTCAGATTAGACTGCAGCTCAGATTAGACTGCAGCTCAGATTACTGCACACATATCAGATAAGAGCATCTTCCTGACCTGAGCTGCTTGTGTGTGCAGACGAACAAACACTTCCTCAAACGTACAACCACATAGACAGACAGGCACACAAAGAGGCACACAGACAGGCACGCACACAGACAGGCACACACACACAGACAGGCACACACACAAACAGGCACGCACACAGACAGGCAGGCACACAGACAGGCACGCACACAGACAGGCACACACACAGACAGGCAGGCACACAGACAGGCACACACACAGACAGGCATGCACACAGACAGGCACACACACAGACACGCACACAGACACGCACACAGACAGGCACACAGACAGGCACCCCACATCTGTACAAAATCAAAGTCCAGCTTCGCGCCGTGACTCCAAACCAGAGAATGGAAACACTTCCTGCTGGCCTTCTCTTGTTTCGGTCCACTCTGCCACAAACAGCACGCACCAGCAACACAGGCATGGCATTTCAACCCACCGGTGGGCCCCTGCCAGGCCAGGGTGGGTGTGGGTGTGTGGGTTCTTTCCTGTTGTTGTGCAGGTACAGGTGAGGTACAGTTCTCAGTTTCAGTACAGAGGCGCAGCCTTATTTGGGACAGTCCGGCTATGCTCATGCCTTTAGATGAGCTGAAGGCATCAGGGAAGGGAGAGGACATGATGTGTGTGTGTGTGTGTGTGTGTGTGTGTGTACTGAATGTTTCTGTGTGATGAATTGCTCCTGTGTATGTTTGCCTTTGTACACAGTTGGATAAATAAGGTTTCACTGGAACTGCAGGTGTGTGTCTGTGCAGTGGGGAGAGTTTATGTCGATCACTGGATATTGCTGTTGTTGTCGGTCCCGTTGGGTTCGCCCATGTTCATGCGGCCCATCGACAGGCCCACGCTGTTGACAGCATCGCGCCGCGGCGGCATCCTTTCATTGATGCGGTCCAGACCTTTGGCCTCCTCAAAACTGCTGATCCGATGCTGCGGGGAGAAGCCTCGGATGGCTGCAGAAACACACACACGTGCAAAGTTAGTGTTTAGGGGAATAAAGGGTTGGGTTTTGTCCATCCAAACCCTTCGATCAAACGTTTATGTGAATATTCACATGTTTTGCTTTCAGTGTGACTTTGCGTAGCAGCGGTCCCGTCTTGACTGTGCTGCTTTTAGGCCCTGTCTACACTGCTCCGAGATGTTTTTAAACACGTACTTTTCTCAGTTACTGCACAAAACTCTGATAACACAGTACCAGTAAAAACGCTGAAATACTCCGTCTGTGCGAGAACGTCCACATTAATGCCACATTCAAATACAGAGACAAGGCATCCTTAGGAGAAGAACAATTTCTCCAAGATGTCTATTTTTAATACTTGTTTTTATGCTTTAACCATTTCAGCACACAATCAAAGTTTAATGGTGGATCAAAATAATGTAGGACGTACGTATAAATAAATAAATAAATACACAGAAGTGGTTTTGTTGTTGTTTTGGTTTCCAGGACCAAAGCTACTACCACATTATTGTTTCAGAAAAGCTTCATATTTTAAGTTTAATCCATAAAAATGCTTTTAATTTAAACTTTGCATTACATTAGGAATACATATCACACACCTCTTTCTCATCGGCTTTCAAGTTTTCACCTAAGATCATCCTATGTTTAGAGCTGACACAGTTAGTGCTGTTTCAGTTAAAACTTGAAACTAACATGGTGCACAATCCCACATAATATTGCAAAAGTCTCACACAGTCTGTTAGCACGCAGTGTAAATGTTGTGAATGACTCTCAGCTACTACCACGCCAAATGGTAGCTCAATATCTGTAAGAGTAGCTGAAGCATAGCCATTAATGTGTTAACTAAGTTAATTAGCCGTAGAGACCATCTTCAGTTTGACTGGCTCCAAAAGACAATCAGTTGTAGATAAACATCAAATAATTACTTTCTGGGAGTTTCATTAAAGTGCATCCAATGTTTCAGAAGATATTTTGCTAACAGACAAACAGGGCTGACTCTAATAGTTAACTGTTTTAAGCAAAGCTCTCGCTGCATGAGTAGCACTTGTAGGAGGTTTTGCCCATGACTCTCAGCTGCTACCACACCAAAGTTTAGCTTAATATTTCCAAAACTGACTGAGTTTGTGATATTTTGTGTTTTGTGATGTTAGTGGGCTGTGGCAGCCATCTTGAAGTGGGTTCACTCTAAAGAAGATACTCTATTTTTAAAACTCTCTGGCGCAGTGTGGACAGGACCTTCATGGAGGGCCAGTTTGGGTTTGGATAAACAAAGTTCTGACACACATTGACGTCTACACACCAACTCAACACGCACGAGTTCATGTGCTGTCTGAACGCTGTGCCAGGATCAGTTTGACCTGGGCTCACGAAGAACGTGACTGTGAGTAGAGGTTGGCCACTGATCTCAGATCAGTGGTCTGAGACACCTGGTGGATCAGACACACGTTGCAGGAAGCACAGCCAAACAAAAGCAACACTTTCTGTCTTTAAATCACATTTCTGAATGTTGACAGTCCGCACTTTGTTCAAAATGTTTTTTATGGACGTCACCTGAACAAATCACAGGAATCTTCATCTAAAATGGAAAAGTAAAAACTAATGCTGTAATCTTTAAATATGCTCAGTTTATAAATTTAATCCGTGTAGATCAAATGCATCACTTTAACAACCAACACTTTTCATTTACTCTTTTTTAATCAACATCTTTCCCCCACAAAGCCCTCCAGTCGTTGGTGTAGTCTACACGATACGGAGTAAACGCACTAGAAAAGCTCAAGAATTTCAGTAAACCCATTTAAAAGTGCCCATTGATACGTGACATATCATCAGGCACGTGTCATTGAAGCGTTAAACGACAGTTAAACGCTTCCGTAAAAATCCATCTGCATGCAGCGCTTGTTTATTACATTCACTTATCCAGCGATTTATTGTATAATTCTGTACTTACTACTTAATACTTGAACATGTTTTGTTTTGATACTGTTTTATACATTCTATAACATGTTTTTAATACAAAGCCAACTGTTGCACAAAGTTTGTTGTACATTTATTCAAATATAAGCATCAGAGAAATTTGGAAATGCTCAATATGCTTCAAAAATCAAAAAAATAAATTGACAATTACATTGTACATTACATTGTACCAACCAGTGTACTTTGGTTCCTAAGCACAGTATACCCAGTACAAAAATGCAGACTACACCACTGCCTCCAGTGACTTCTCACACATGATTCAGCACCTGTCCTGCTCACTCACTGAGCCTTCACCAAGACAGAAAGGATGAACTTGATGTGAAATGTTTGTGCTTGTTGGTCGGTGCAGTCTGGTGTCTACAGCAGGAGTGAGCGCAGCAGCAACCTTTCTGCCCTCACTCACTTTCTTCAGCAGTTGGAGCTCCTGACTCGGTGCTGCTGACCGTGTGGTTTTACAGGAAGTGCTGCAACCAAAACTAATGAGTCAGGGCGTCAGTGTGGCAAATCTGTGTAAAACAAAGTCTCTTACTTCCTGTTTTGGACTCAGATGAGGAAGTTGCACTAACGTTTGAGTGAAACTAGAAAATTGTCCTTTTTCAGGTTTAATACGGAAACACCAAAAACTATTTTTTAATAAAGTTTTTTGTTGTTAGATTGAACAGTTAATTATACTAAAGCAATAGTTCAGATTTTTTCAAGTACGGTTTTGTAGAAAAGTTATGAACAGTTAATATCTTACCTGCAGTAGATAGCTCATTGACACTGTTTAATTCTGACCTTACTGACTGCACGTCTGAGTGGGGCAAAGATCAAAGGGGATTTCTGCCATCTTAAAATAATTTCAGTGTCAGTGTCACGTGTCACAGCTATTCCAGAAGAGAAATAATGATCTTCTTGCTGAAAGTCCCCATGATGCACTGGAAGTGCTACAGCCACGCAAAACTGACAATGATTTCAAAGTTTATAAACTAGCGTTCACATGAGCAGCTATAAACTTTTGGAATGGCAGTTGTTTAGTTTTAAGGCAGCAGAAATGTAATTTGGTCTCTGCCCTGCTCAGACGAACCGTGAACTCGTCAATCCGGTCAAAATTAAACTCTCTTTCTACAAATGGAGGTCATTCAAAGAGCTATCTGCAACAAGTAAGATATTAACTATTCACATTCTTTCCACAGAGCCACACGACCAACAGTTTGATCTTTAACTTGAAGACATGCAAACCAGACAAATGCTAACAAATAAATTCATACTTGTTTGTTGATTTTGTCACATTATTAATCTGTACAAAGATATAAACAACCATAAATCATTTATTTTATTTTGTCTTTGTTTTTAGCCCTGTGTGTCACGTGCAGAGACTTTAAACTTTTCACATCACTAATAAAAACACTAATAATGTTACTGTAGTTTGATGCTGATTTGGACAAACAAACACAAAGCATGGAGAGGTTCCTGACAGCATACTCACACCATCTTCTGTGAGAATACATCAGGTAGACTAGGCATATTATTATTATTATTATTATTATTGTTATTATTATTATTATTATTA